ATTACTTTGCTTCAGGTGCTCGGATTGGTTCCACTCGCACTATCTTACAGGACCACACATTGAATTAATGCCACCACAGGATCTTGCTCACTTTAGAAAACTGTTCACTTGTCAGGTTCAATCTGGTGATTTGGATATCAAACAGGTCAAGGATTCGGTGTATTTTTTTAGTTAACACTCATATCAGCTCAAGGTGGGGGGAGGACTTCGGGTTGTTGAGGGGTGCACAAGGCAGTGCTACTAGACTTGCTCGTCTGCGTCTTCTCACCGAAGTAGTGATCCTTTCTTAGCTTTTGGGAGTGCTAAAAGCAGGCATGTCCTGTCGTTGGAGATCATGGTCCACAATATGACCCCTCCCAAATATCTGTCGACCGGGGAAGGCGGCGAACGAAGGAGAGTTCCCGACATACAACGTGCCTCGGTTGGGATACCAATGCGAGCATCTTAATCTCCCCAAATATCCTTTATCCCTTATAGGTTAACTCCAGTGAATTCTAGTCACTTTTAGCCTTAAATTATTGGTTCACTCGTATTCACCAGTTTTCCCAGGGAAAGCTGACTTCGAGGGAAGGAGCGGAGGAGGCTAGGGAATATATCTAGTAAGCGTAGGAGAGGGCAGTCAACGTCCAGAAAAATTATTCCCGAGGCTGGTGGAAAATTTTGACCGTGTAGAACCCCTTCCTCAGTGACCAAACACGGTCCGTTGGTGGGATTCTCCCAACGAGGCTGTACCCCTATTGATTTGGATGATTTTCTTCTTTCTACTGAAAAGGCCTTTCACTCTGCCTTTTTTTCTGTGCTCAATCCTAGTGCCTTGTTGTTCTTCAGAGGAAGTCGGTTGCACGGTGTATTAACGATTTTGTATGATATCGCGAGCAGGGTACATTATCGGTATCAATCGCGGTATTTTTAACCTCCTGCCCCTCCTCCCCAAGAAAGGTCTGGGTACGGTTGGGAGGTGTGACTGTCTCTACCTTCCATCTTACAAAACCCAAATAATCCAGGATTTTTTCGTCGGGGGTGGTAGCCACTGTTCGAATCGGCCTTCTCACGCGCGTGTGTGGCAGTGGAGGAAAAATAAATACTCAAAAACTTTCGTTCGGACTAAATAAGACTACCCCCTCCCCCCTACGGCGACCACATACAACCCTACTTCACTGCATAACGATGATGTGCGCTGTTTGCGAGATTGTTAGGGTATTTACGCTCAAGTTTCGAATGTTGTTATTGTTGAGTACTTTCTTTGTTGTTACTGTACATTACGAATAATATAGTTATATTGATCGGTGTGTTGGTCTTGCATCGACATAGCTAGGCCAGAGCAATCGCCAGGTCCAACGGGCTCCATTTACGGGCCCTGACCGGTTTCAATTTCGATTTCTGCGATTTTAATCGGTATGGGAACGTCTTGGATGTTGATGGTTTTGTTCGCTGTTGGTGATGGGGCATGTCAGGGAGGGGGAGGGGGGGGGGTGGATCTGGCGCGTAGCTGCCAGTTCTCAATCAATTTTCAAAGCGGGCAAGCGACAGCAGTCTATGGAGTAAACGCCGGCGGTGCGCACAACCTAGTCCCCTTTCACGCCCTAGCATTCGCAGCGTACGTGACTACAACTGCACGCCTTTCAAGAGTGCAGTTATCTTTAAGTCACAATGGTAATCTTCGAGGACAAGCAGGGATTTCAGATGTAATCCTTTTCAAAAGACGGTGGGCACGGTCAGGTTCCTGGAAGATGATGGAAGCAGGGGGGGGGGCAAGCAGGACTAGAGATTCGAAAACGCGCGAAATTTTCGCTCATGACTCCCGTGATTAGGAGGTGGACGAGCATACGGCTGGGACAGATATCGCTTAGGTGCCATCGTTGTCTTGAAGATTATTGGGGAAAGCATTTGTGTGGTAATTACAACTATTTGACCACATTGTTTGGTGTCGAGTGCACAGACCGGGTTGGTGCTGTGGGCGGAGTCAGGCCTGCTATTGTTAGCGCTTCGCTCGTTCTGCAAAGGAATGGTTGAAGAGGCAAAAAGGTATGCCTGGCTCCGCCTAACGACCAGAGGAGCTGTACGTTCAAAGACACATTCTGCGTTTACAAAGCGGGTAGCGCTCTCTATCTTCCTAGCATGATCTGATATTTAACTATCGGCTAAGCATAACGGGGGTATACAGTACCCTAGAACTGCACGTAAAATTCAGAGCTTGGTTCCGTGATTCATGCACCACATTGCGCGTCTACGCAGCAGTTCCGCCACGGCCCAAGCTGTGCGCCGAAAGAATACATATAGATATACCCAAGGGCGCCCGTGGGATGGGGCATTGAATTTCGGCAGCACTTTTGGCGACACTCTGCCCTGCTATCCGCCTCATTTTTTCATTGTTGTTTCAGTTTCTTTGTATTTTTCTGTGTTTTATTTCCCTTCCTGTGTCCAGAATGGAATAAGGTGGTGAAAGGTGCTGGTCGCAGTACAGCTCCTGCACTTTCAACTGATAGCAACTGGTGTCCAGATCTCGTCGGAAAGTCTGCTTGAGGTAAAAAAAGTTCATTTGAATTGTATGTATTCCTATCTTGAATATTGATGTCCAATTCGTTGTGCAACGGTGACCAAAGGAACAGACGGGAGAAGCTGTAGACTATTCGGTTTCACAGATGTTCCTGAAAAATCATCAATCAGCAGTGAGGGGAGTGAGGGCGATCGATATAGCGACCATTCTTTTCTGAAATGCTGCTGTGGCTCAGCTAAAAGGCAGTGGGCTGAGGGTGGGCGGTTACTACGGACGTCACTGATGGAAGGGCTGAGTGGGATGTGGCCAACACCACTCGCAGCTCTTCCACCAATGACGTTGGCAGTACCGCACGCCTCCAGCCTTTGTGCCCACTGTCTTTTGAAGAAATGATATTTCGAGGAAATTCTGGAATGGTTGGCGGCATTCCAGCATTCTAGGTGTGCGGAGCCAGGCCTATGCCCCTGTTTTCCTCACTGATGCGCACTTCCTCCCCGATGTCTTAGGAGAAACCCACAATTAAGTAAAGTGAAAGGGGTCAGGTGACTGCCGATTTGCTCAGCGTGGAAATTGCCTATAGACAACTTTTTGCTTTTTTTATGAAATGCAATTCAAAGAATGTGAGGTAGTTTCGAATTCCCTAGAAATTTCATTTCAGAGGCACATTTCGTGACTACTTTACAGGTTAGATCCTTCTTGGGCGCTGTTTGGCGACAGGGGGGGGGCATTTTGCACTTTAACGACTTCCCATCGACGTGTCGACCCATCTAGACAGCCTCTTCTCGAGTTGACAGGTTTTACCATGATGGCTTGACGAGCTTGCTCCAGCTTCACAAGAGTTCACAGGTTTCACCAGAGTGAGACTTGTAAACCGGAACTAGTGAAGCAACGAAAGTGCAAAATGCCCCCGTCGCCGAACTGCATTTCTTTTGTGTAGGAAGCTAGCAGGCCCCGGGCCTGTAAGCTTCCTACACAAGGCGACATGTTGAAAGGGTGACGAGATCGCTGAAGGTCTCTGGCAAGGGTAGGTCCCCGCCCACTGATGTGGGCTCTCACCCCCGACTGCTGCGACTACGGTTCTTTCTTGCATTTGTTAGCGTTGTGTACCCTTGCCAGCCCGTTGTCTAGTCTCTTGCCTGCGCGTTCAATCTTTTTCACGTTTGTTTTCTTCACATTCTCATCAAATTGAAGCCAGAAGAGGGCCTAATCGAGAGCGTTTTCGTCAGTTTCCCAGGCCTTTTTTAAAAGTGGTAAGTCGACTGTATTCCGAAATTTTTCTCTCCCTGTTACATCCTTTGAATATCCACAACGCCGCATACCTCGGCACTTGATGTAGCGCAGGACTCGTACACGAATCTTTTTGTTAAGAAGGATAAGAAGATAAGCATTTGAGAATGTGAGCAGATCGGTCGCATAGGGAACAAGCAGATCTGCCAGGCCGTCAACACCTGCTCGATCGTAAATTATCATCTGCAAAATGAAGATTTACTCGAGTAACATTCGGGTCAGCGATTAACAGTATAGATGACTTTAGGTTTGACTTGGCCGGTTATTTAGCTTGAAAAAAATTAATCCTTTTAAGGATGCGTTCGGAGGCACTGTGTACGATCGTCTGAATGTACACTCTGCTTCCAGGAGACAGATGGGTCGTAACTGTGTACTTGGTGGCGCGCAAGGCAGTGGCCTTAGAAAAAAATGGTAGTTTTGGCCAGAGAAGTTTTGCTATTCGCATTTGAAAACCTAGTGACACTCAACCAGTGAAAATGAAGCATTGAAAACGAGTTAGTGGGCGGGGGAGGGTGGAAATTTCCGAGACTACTGTCATGCGTGACACTGTGTCCACAATTACGACCCATCTCACCGTGGGATACAGAGTGTAGGCATAATTTCTAACGAGGGGTCCCTACCAAGGCACACCACCGCGTTGTAGAAAATTTTTGGAAAGAACTACCTTGTCCAAAGTTGCATCAGCGTGGACATAATTTCCCATCCTACCTACAGTCTTCTCAACTTTCCCCAAACTTCTACAGTCGAGTGGGAGGTACGTAACAAAACTACTGTGATAAATTATTACAGAATTTTGTTTCGCCGCGGGCTCAGTGGAGTGCATTGCGGAGTACAAACAAAAGAAAATCAGCAATCGGAGTTTTTTTGTTTCTTGTGACAAAATACAGTTCATTATTTACGTCCCCCCTCCGCTCTCCCTTCCCTCCTGCTCCCACCCTGTGCGTTACGCACGGATAATGAGCCCTGCTCTCAAACATCCATCAACCTCTGCACCTCTTAAGGCATAAAGCACAACAATTTGGTACTCGATCTGAATTGGTGGGAGGGGTGTTATGTAGTGGAAAAAGGGCGAAAAACTGGAAGGAAACGCTTGAAAATCTGCAAAAAAAGCCGTTGTTTCACACGACTTTAGATAGAATCGGACGAGTTTCCCGCTGGCATCGTCCGATAGCCGCTACGGTAGATACGGCTGCATGTGTGTACTCATATATCCATGCAGCACCGCAGCCGCTTCATATCAATTCCTTCGCTTCATATTGTACTCCACAAATGAAGCGATACTAGGGTCAGGGTAGGTCGGACATTTGTGGGCGAGTAGGCGCGGCGGGCGTCCTGGTCGTTATGTTGCAGCTTGCTAGGGCGCTATAGGGGACCTTCCCTGGGAAATGCGCTACGCTACGCGTCTTGGGAATCTATCGTGCTACTTGCTTTTTAGAACCAAACTTAAAAAGAAAATGCCCACCAGCAGATCGGTCTAGGCGCCGACTTCGCACATCCAAATGCAGTTGGTGTTTTTATCTTCTGGGAAACTCCGAACGCTGGCAAGCTGGTACGACTGTCTTCGATGTGAGGGGTCTTGCTTGATGCGTCAGTTTATGTTTTTTTTAGTGTTTCCCCTCAAGTGCGCCACCCACCGTTCAGTTCATAATGAGCACTACATCCTTTATTTTGCTCCCTTTACTGTTTCTTCAATATATCAACCACATATAGTAGTACTCACCCAGAGTATGTAGTATGTAACTTGTATAAGGAAATCTAGAATTGCTAGAAAGAGCATATTTCGTTCAGCTTTGTCGCGATGTCTTTTCGAGCGAACAAAGAGGAGGATGACCGAGATGATGTTCACAACTGACGTAGCTGCCACAATCACGGTCATGAACATAAGAAAATCAGCAGTATCTATATCAATTTTCTAATATGTGTGTGGATTTTATCGGTTGGATTCACCCTTTATTGAGTATTTTTTTTTATTTTGTGCTAGATTTATTGTGGATTGTCCTAGGGTGAGAGTTGCGTCCAATTAATATGTGTTTTCCATAGCTAAGCCAGGCATAACTCTCTGGATGTATGTAGCCATCCAACTTTCTGGTTAGAGCCAAAGTTTCACCGCAAAGTCAGAAAAGTGGGCTTGTAAAAGGCAAGTGGTTCTATTACCCGAGATATCCACCAATATCGTCGAACATCTCTCCACAGATATGAAACTGGATGAAGCGGAGGTACTCAGGGGATGAACTTGGCGGCGTTTTTCTTGCAGTACTTGTGAATACATCGAACCAAGCAGCGTCCACCAAAGACAACAGACATCAGTGAGTGGATATTATGGGGAAAAGGAGGTAACAGACAGAATACCACCCAACTTCCCTATTCCGTACAGAGCAGTAATGTTGCCCTCAGATGTTCCCATACTTACACCGGTTCTCCAGTCGTACTCTTCATAATCTAACGGTGTCTGCTCGCTGGCGGACGATGGTGGACGGCCTGTCTGGACTAGACGCATATTCTATTACTCTCCTATTTCACTGAACGCTGATGGACGACTCAGAACGCTGCGTCGCTGGGAGACACTGACAGTCGCTGCCGCCAAAGAGTGACGCAGTCTCTCACCAAAAAACGCTGGCTCCCCTCTGAAGTTCATTCCACGCCTCTGACACAGTTACACCAACCGCACCGCTGCTTTCATGAAACTCATGAAGAATTAGCTCGCCAATCTAGCGCCGGCCAGAACAGTCCCGTCCGCCGCGCACAGGCGTTCCGCATCAGACCAGAGTGGGATATCCCTATCTTATAGCTTCAGACCATACCGGAATGTTCATTTCTGGCTGCATTTACCTCAAAACGACAAATGTTGAGATGAACGAACCAAAATTTTCAGGAAAGAGGGCCGGTTAAGGGTATATGTTCAAGGCTGCGTTCATAATTTGCGGCAGCGTCCATCAGCGACCACTAGCGTTCCGAGCGTCGGGCAGCGTCAGCGACTAATAAAGTACAGATATCGATCTAGCGTCCACCAGTACTACCGACCGTCAGCGTCCACCGGCGACCAGCAGCGTCTCGAGGGCTAGAGAAGTATAAGTATCTACCTAGCGACCAACGGCGTCTACCAGCGTTGGAGAGCACGGGGCGATAGGAGGGTAGCAGACTGCTGGTGGAGTATGGGGAGATAGGGTCCAGGATAGGCCAGCTGTCTGCTACGCTCCTATCGCCCCATGCTATTCACTCCACGCTGCAGGCAGGTCACTGGTGGACGCTGGAGGCGCTGATGGTCGCTAGATCTTTATCTGTACCATCCTAGTCGCTGACACTGCCGGACGCGTGGAACGCTAGCAGTCGCTGACGGACGCTGCCGCGAAGTATGAACGCAGCTCAAAAGTACCCTACGTTTCTGAAAGTACCGCTGAGATTTTCATTATTCCAGAGGACTTAAGGGTATATTTTTAGTAAATATAGTGAAGCAAACTCACCGCTGTTGTGGTCACATCATAGCAGAGCGTATGTTTAGAGATTTGAAAAAAGTTGGGACTATTCAGTACGGGATATACAAAAATAAATGGAGTCAGTAACGTGACGGCAACACTACCAGGGAGGGCGATTTTCCATATCTAGAATATTAACCAGTATTATTATCATTATAAGGGGATGGTGTCGGTAAAACCAGCTACATTATACGGCCGTCACGCGCCAACGAAAAAGAGACAATAGATATGAGTCCCGTTCACTTGCCTGCCCATTCGGGTATCAAGTAATGTGCCTCTGAGGTGCGTATACACTTAAATGTGCGTATACACTTTCTTCTACATCTTCACTAATGTACGGCCGATTTCGTTGCAATCCGGCGGAGCGGTGCCGGGAGGCATGGAGTGGGCCCACCCGCGGGGTTTTCTACTATAGGTTGTTTTCTAAAAACTGAACCGATCACTAGTGATAGGAAACGCAGCAGCGGGCGAGCTGATGGCACGCTTCCTGACACCGCCCCATCCAATTGCGACGTTATCAGCAGGGCACAGCATTCGATGGGGATTTTGCTCGAGCTTTTACGACCCCCCCCC